CCCCCTGCCCGATGGCCCAGCCCCCCCTGGGGCTCCTGCCTCACCCTGGAGGAGGGGAGGAAGAGGAAGGTGTCAAGAGCATCTTCCCACCCTGTGCCAGGGCGGCTGCTCCAGGGCAGGGCAGGGCAGGCATTGCCCCAGTGTGGCCACAGCTACTCCAGCCCACCTACCTTCTCGCCCTCAGGGCCCGGCATGCCACGGTCCCCCTGCAGAGCGAAGCAGAGGAGGGTTTCAGGGAGCCTTCCTCCCTCCACACCACACTGCCCCTGCCCCACGCACTGCCCCAGAGCCCTTCAGGGCCTGGCCTATCAGAGACCACTGGGCTCTAACAGCAACCCCCAGGCACAGCCACCATGGGGCCGCAGGGACACCAGGACCCGCTGATGCTGCCGAATGGTGTGGTCCCGCTGCGGTGCCGTCTCACCTTCTCGCCCATCTCTCCCAGCTCGCCCGGTGCCCCGCGGTCTCCCTGGTGCAGAAGGAAGATGGGGTCAGGAGCAGCAGGACCCGCGGGGGACAGCACAGGTCCTGGCACAGCACCCAGACCCCTTTTCTCCCCAATGAAGGCAAGGCAAGAGCCTTTGGTCCCCGCACCACTCACCTTCCTGCCCTGCTCCCCTGGAGGTCCTCGAGGGCCCTGTAAAGGAGGATGGAGAAGATGTCACCTCCAGTGTGGCAGGACAAACACCCGGGCTGGCCGGAGTGGAAGACCTCTGGGGTGTCCTTGGGGCTCAGCTCGCCGGCAAGGCTGGCTCCTGCCCGCCTTATGTTCTCTTGGGAAACTCACCCGGTCTCCTGGGTCCCCAGGACGGCCAGGCGGCCCTGGGAAACCTTCTGTGCTGTCGCCCTGGGGATTAGAAAAGGTGGCAGCCGTGCCCATGAGATGGGGATGCCCATGAGATGGGGATGGGCGTCCCTGCTGGAGAGCGGTGTGGGGTCTGGCCCCAGCATAGAGCATCCCCACCACCCTCTTACCTTCTCTCCCTTCAGGCCGGGGGGCCCAGCAGGTCCCCGGGGCCCGGGGTCCCCAGGCAGGCCCTGCAAGAGAGCACAGCTCAGCCCTCGGGGACACAGGTCAGCCCTGGGGACACATGGCTGCCACAGCCCCACTCCCCTCTGCCATCCCCACTGGCCCAGGGGTCAGACTCACCGGGGGGCCAGGCTCCCCTCGAGGTGCTGCCCCATCCACAAGTCCAGGGGGGCCCTGCAGAGACAGGGATCAGCTTCTGCATGGCAGCCCCAGAGGGCTCAGTCCTTCCCAGCACCCTGGGGGGGCTGCGGTGCCCTTGGGCACCCACGGGGCCTCTGCCCAGGAGGGCAGAGGAGCCAGGGAAACGCAGAGCCACTCACCCTCTCCCCTCGGTCACCCTTCTCCCCCTGCAAGGGCAAAAAAAAATGCAGGTAAGGGCAGGTCTGGGCTCTTCCCATGCCCCCTTGAATGGAGAGGGGGAACATGCTGGACAGAGCCCATCGTCAGTGATATCGGGGCACATGCACGCCATGTGCTTCTGCACGCTGCCCAGTGCCAGCAACAGCTCACGCCTGCGCATGTGTGCGTTGGCACAGCCCACGAGTGGGACCAGGAGTATTGCACAGGGGACCAGCTTCAAGCTGCTGGCTGTCCCTCCGTCCGTCTGTCCACACATCCCCCCAGCTGTCCCCGCGTGGCACCAGGGGACATGTACCTTCACAAACTCTCCCGGAGGTCCTGGTGGCCCCATGGGTCCAAGTGGACCAGGGGGCCCTGCATCACCAAATGGTCCCCGTGGGCCAGGGCTCCCAGGGGGGCCAGGGCTGCCCTGGAGGACAGAGATGCTCCATTAGCATGGGCTGGGGTGCTGGCAGAAACCCCCCCAGCATCTTCACCCCCATACCTACCGGCATGCCCGGCTCCCCTTTCCGGCCTGGCAGCCCCTGTGCTCCATCCACAATCACCCTGGGCTCTCCCTGAACACAGGCAGGGAGGAAAAAAAATTCAGTGTCCCCATGTGCCCTGTTGTGTCCCCCGTGCAGGATGGGGGCTACAGTGCCACCCTGAGGCCAGGGACCCAGCAGGAAAATGGGGACACCCTGAGGTCACCCAGACACTAAGTGCCTCGAGGTGCCAGGGGTGGGATGTGCCCGCCAGGGTCCCTGCTGCTCCCCAGGGACCCCCGCAGGGCAGCCCTGTGCCAATCACCTACCGGCTCGCCTTTCTCCCCCTTTGGGCCAGAAAGCCCCATCGGCCCCCTTGGCCCCTGGGAACGAA